AACACATTTGTATTTGTTTATTTGTAATATATAGGCTCTTGTCGGTTCCTGACGGTTCTTGTCGGTAATTAGGGAGACCCTTATTGTTGTGCTTGTGGTATTTTTAGTTTCAACTTGGCATTTTCTCGCTGGGTGGTTCAAATATTCCTACTTGAATAATGTTGAATCACCCTTAGGACATGTAATTGTTGCCTGCTTTTTAAATTTGTCTTTTGACGTCTTATCTGTGATATGCAGGCTTCATAACCTCTGATCCCCTTTCAAAATTCCAAAATTAGTTCCGCCCAATGTTTTCTCGTTTAGGGCTAACGCTCTTTATTTCTTTGGGATCATACGCTGCTTTTCATGGAATGTCACGGTATTGTCACATTGAAGGTTCCATGATAACCGCTGTATGAACACATCTGTGGATGTTTCTTAATTCAAAATTTTACTATTTCATGTTTAAATGTTGAATTCTGCTTAAGCCGTTGCTAGGGGGCGTGAACGGTAACTTGCACTTTCCAGTTCCATCCATGAACAGGCTCAACCAAACAGAGTCTGCAACATTTTAAATTTTGTCGTGTTGGGCTTTCTTTAGGGATTCTGTATTTATCTATTCTATTTTTAGCTGCCTGACAGATCGACGGAAGCCAAAATTTTTGATAATTACATTTAGCGAGTAGATGTCGTTCATAAGCGTCTAATATAACAAAGTGGGTAAGATTTTGCTCTGCTGGAAGTTAATACGGGTACATTGTCTTTCCACAAAGGAGTGCGTTGTAATTATTCCGCTGCAACAGAAAAATCCTCCGTTTTATACGAGTAGTAGGCGAGTTTTAGACAATTTAAGCTTTGAAATTTCAACACTGTAAGTTTAATCTGACAACTCTCTCTTCAGCCATACCTTTTCCATTGTGTAGTACTAGTAAATGGTGTAGAGACCTTAGGATTCGTTGTTCTTGACTTGCAATGACCGACAAAGTACGTATGCTGCAACACCAAGAAGTATTCTATATGTGCTGAATTTGTAAATAATGCTATGTAACCCAAGTGCGTTTTGCTGTTTCTTAGATAAGTTTTGATACAGATTTCTCTTTTTATATTCTAAGCTATCATTTGTTAATATTGTCATTGTCAGACTTGGTAGACTGTCCTAGTGCTCATGTGTCTAATTTTTGTCTAGTTCCGGTGAAAAAAAATAATGCAGTAAGCGCATGTACGTCCGGTACGAGTGTTGTTTGCCCCACATTTATAATAAAGATTTCATCATGTGCCTTTCCAAGGTAAGGTAAAATCCAATTGTCGCTTCTTTGTTCCCTTTTGATATGCCCGAAAATATTTCGGGCATATTATGTTATTCCCCCTTGCGCCCGTTTCTCTGTACGTCCGTCCGTTAGCAATTTGGTTTCCGGAGCGTAACTTAAGTTCTATTTGGTCCACAATATTCAAATTTCATAGGATGATTGTCCATATTTGGTAAAAGACCTCTATTGATTTTTGGGTCACAAGGTCAAAGGTCAAGGTCACTATTACTTAAAACTGAAAACAGTTTCCGGAGCATAACTTCAGTTCCATTTGGCCCACAATATTCAAACTTTTTAGGATGATTGTCTATACTATGTAGAGAACCCCTATTGTTTATGGGGTCACAAGGTCAAAGGTCAAGGTCACTATTTCCTTAGAACTGAAAAGTTTCCGTAGCATAACTTAAGTTCTATTTGACCCACAATATTCAAACATCATAGGATGATTGTCCATATTGGGTCACAAGGTCAAAGTTCAAGGTCACTATTACCTTAAAACTGAAAACAGTTTCCGGAGCATAACTTAAGTTCCATTTGGCCCATAGTGTTCAAACTTCATAGGATGATTGTCAATATTGGGTAGAACCCTTTTGTTACTTTATTTAATTCCCATGCCTTACAAATGCTTCATTCTTGCTAAAAAAACACTTTCGGGCACATAATGCTCCGCCTAACAGTGCTCTTGTTAGATTTTTCCATATTTCCACCAGAAGTTAATCAATCACTACTTGTATAAATAGAGATCCGTATTTTTCTTGAGCTTGACAAAGGGATTCTAAATCGCGAATTTATGATTCTAGTTCAATCAGACTAAAGTTTAGATCAACTTATTACTTACATGTAGATCTGATTATCATCGTATATGTTTCGCCTTCATTATGATTAGGATTTCCCGAGAAAGCTATTTTAGCAATGCAATTATACCTGTTTTTACAGATAAGCATTAGACGTAAAATCTAAATAAAGTTGTCCGTGACGTTTTGTTGAAAAAAAAAAATGTTTGAAGTGATTTGAAACAAGTAAATTCGAAATGATAGACTCAATTTTATTTTATGCTTTTCAGTGGATTACTGATTTATCAGTGAAAATTATATTTGATAATTTCACAGTGAAAATTATCAAAATATAATTTCACACTTTTCAATGACGAAACTACTTTTTTAAGATTTTCCCCATGTGATACCTCAATTTTATTTTTGCTGACAATTCTGACAATGTCAGGCTGTGTAAAGAAAAGGCAAAGCTGAAATTGATAAATAACTTAAATGTCAAAAGTAATAAAAAGAAGAAAACTTACTTCTATTCATTCAAATTCCAATCACCAATTTTCGTCTCTAAATTTTTTTGTTTCATTTTTACAGTCTGAAAAATCTATTCCTTCCCCATTGCAAAACTGCTCTTTGATGACATTTGGCATATTAAAGTATCCTACGAGCAATAACTGCCGTATGCTTTATGAAAAATTGAAAAGCATTGACAGCCATCACTCGAAAAATAAGTAAAATAACCCAGCGTTCCATGAGCCAAGCTTCCAAGTTTGTCATATTCCTAGCTCCTTTTTTTGAATGTTTTTCACATCTGTCAACACTTATTTTTTGTCTGTTACAATCCTCAAATTAATTTTCTTTCTTTTAAAAAGGTGTATAACTAACAAATCCAAATTATATCCCTCTGAATCTTACACAATTATTTTCCTCCCATGAAATACACAACTTTAAAAAATGGCTGCCGTTTACATATTACAAAGCCAGGTCTAATGTAAATTCGCAGTAAGTAACAGAAATATGGATGGATGGTTGGACTTTTTCTCCTACAAGAATTGTTCGTTTTTATTATTAAAACAAGCGATCATTCATATTTTTTTAATAAAATGAATAAATATCACCGTCATTTAACGTTGATTGGCGGACTTATTTTTCAGCTCAAGACTTCTTGTTTTTAATGAGAAATTCCGACTAAATGGGGCTCTCAATGGGGAAAACAGATTTTAATATTAACGTTAAAATTATGGAAATTCCGTTTTTACTTGTTTTTAAGCATAAAATAAAAAGAAAATTTGTTTGTTTGTTGTGTAAGATGTAATTTTATTTCATCTCGTGAACTTTAAAAACAGTATTCTCACTCGTGGCTACACCACTCGTGAGAATACTGTTTTTAAAGCCCACTCGATGAAATAAAATTTCATCTTACACACAAACAAACAAATATCCTCTATTTAATGAGCTTACATGTAACTGCCTGGTGTATGCGTAACACAATATTTGTTCTCAAAATCGTAAAAAATTCCTATGCAATATTGGGTATTCAGCAATAAAAATTGAAACCGCATCACTTTCAAAATTATAAAAGCTCGCTGAAGATTAGCTGTTTGAAAGGATACGAGAATGCGACCACATATAACTGATCGCCAGATCCTAAAATGTAGCGTTATTTAGGATTTGATTTGAATTAGATTGGTTTCTAGCTCAAAGTAATTTATTTCAGTAGGCTGCTAAGAGTATTATTCGGCGCCGGAAGTTTTAGTAAGTCTTACTATTGCTGAGTACCGCTCAAGCCGGTGCTACGGGGCGTGAGGGATGTTGCACTTATTCATTATCCCTCATACACACACTTAATCAAACAGAGTCTGCAATTTCATGTAACTTTGTTGTGATTAATGCCTCCGAGGGATTGGATCACTTTGTTTCCATATTCATCTACATATAAATGTGTTCGACCTTATGTATTTGTCCAAATATTTGTCCCAATTCGACCGCTCGAGAGAGTATTTAACATTTGTGTGTACGAAACCGGCATTGGCTCTGGCATTTGTCGCCTCTGTCCGAGCTCAATATTACATGTATGTAGACTCCTGCATATATTTGAGGGAAGGCTTATTATGCAAGGATGATTCATAAAATCCTAGAATGTCTGCCACTGAAGTAAGCCCGCCCCCCCACCCCTGCAAATGTTGGAAGCGATAATTTTGGAAGTTTATTGGTCATCGTAATTTTGGGAAGTCTGTTTACCAGGGATCAGCTGAAATGTGTCAATGTTAGTCTCCATCTGTGTTATCTGGGTTTTATCCCATACAATTTCTGTAATCTTCCTTATATTTCAATGTCTTTAATGCATATATAAAATCTCTATATTTTTCTGATCAATGTCTTTGACATCTTGTAATTTCCAACGGATATTTAGTAAGATCGTGTTGAATGTTGTCGTGCATAACAGCGCTAACATACATATCTTTACAATATCAAAGCACTTCGGGTTCTGAAGGTGTCAACTGAGTTCTGCTTAAATACTGAGTACTGACTTATTTTCGATCTATAACAATGAAATAATTATGGCGGAGTTCAAGATGACGGTCGATACTTAGATACATCACTGTGCAATCAAATAATCTTACTTAGAGCCGTTTATATTATGCTGTACCAGTTATTAAAAAGTTTTAATATCTCATAAAATGTAAGTGATAAATTGTTTATGAATTTTACTACTGTAAATGTCACAAAACTGACATTATAACAAACTACTTAAATTGTAGATTACAGATGTTTCGAAAAAGCACTCTCTTCTGTCAGCCATTTATATGAGAAGTGTTGGTGCCATTTTGGACAAAAAATCAATTAGATGGGAATGTATGAAGATGCACCTAATATTATCTACGGTATTCTTTCGTCAGGATTTGTATTCTCAATTATTTTCTAATTAATTCTGTAAACATTTCAGCGGGGAACACAATTAGTGTATCTCACGACACGGCTGGTATAGGAACCGTCATCAACACTCTTGTTCCGACTTATATAGATAACGTTAACGATTATGATAGGATCTATTACCGTCAGCACAGCGGCCCGGGGAATTCATACAAACATGAAACACCGGATCTGTTCTATTTGGACACATGTAGGTATTTTCAGGAAGTAAAAATCATTATAGACCAATAAAACGTTGCCTGTCCGTCATATGGGGAAACAATATAATGTACATATGTACTATTAGGAAAAACCTCCAGTTCATCTGTAAGCTAGCTCGATAGCTTTTCATTGAATGAAACTTACGCGTCACATTGGAGGTTTCATCATAAGCATCGTAATTCAAAATATTTCAAATTTATGTTAAATGTTAAATTCTGCTTAAGCAGGTGCTGTAGGGTGTGTTCGGTAGCTTGCATTTTCCATTACCATCTTTGAACATGCTTATTAAAACTGAACCTGCAACATTTTCAATTTTACTGTTTCAGTTGTTTTGAGAGATTCCTTTTATCCCTTTTTATAGTTTTGGTTATTAAAGGTCTTCGTTGGCCTTATTCTAAAATCAATGCATTAGCAACTTATTTTAGTATATGTAGTGTTATTTGAGTTAAAACTTCAGGTAAATTTTAGCTATTTCTTCCAGCTACCGGACAGGTGAAAGTCGGGAAAGATTTGACTATGGAATTTTCTTACTTTTTCAATATGAGCTTATGTGTTTATGACAGAAGGCACAGAGAGGTTTGTCATGATCTCAGCATTACATTACGTAAGTTTCTTTTCATGACCAGTAAAACGTAAATTACAAATTTAATAAAAAGAACGACAATTTTATACAAGATCCATATTTTCCAGATATGCCACAATTGAAGTTTGAATAAAGAGAATAACAAATATTCAGCATGTTACAATAATAATACTTTATACGCTTTAAGCTGTTAACGATGGGGCATCGAAATTATAAACATGGTACGCATATCGAATGCACCATGCCATGTGCTTAGTGTAAGCGGTCTTCAATTGCAATTGTACTGTGGCAGTTAACGTATCGGGCTAGTTATCTAAAGATCAGTAATCTGCTGCGTGGGTTCAAACCCCGTTAGGTGCAATTTGTCCTTTCTTTAAAAAAGAAACTTTATACCCATTGCTTAGTACTGGTTTGTAATTCAATAGTGTCTATAAGCTCATATATTTCTATATATACACAATTAAACAGAAATACATTCTAAATAAATAAATACGAGTATACACAATGCATTGCACTTTCCATATGGCATATGTTAAAAATGAGAAGAAATAAACCTTTTACTGTAAAGCTGTAGGAATATTTCTAGATAGCATTACGGACAAAAAGTGAAACATACATATGAAAGGAATTATACCATTTTAAGCGCGTATTTTCAAACTTTTATTTTCCCTTTTAGGGGCGTGTTTTCAGACGCCGACATGCTATGACCAATCCGATAATAACATTATTGATACATATGGAACACGCACTGGTCACGGTGGAAGCAGTAACACGATTTTCAACATGAAATATCCACAACCAACGGAACATTTCCCAGCATTCAGTTCCGAATGGCATGACCTTACATGGACTTTTGATAGCAATGAATTTCCAGAAGCAGTCATTAATTCTGATACAGGTCAGCTTTTGTTTTTTTTCTGGTGTTTTGTTTTGCATTCCAGAAAATAAACACCACGATAAGTAACATATCGAAATTATATTTTTATCCCGGAACTATATGCATTGCATTAGTCTCTCAAATACATTTTCTATAAAGTTATTTATAAGACAAAACAGACGGAGAATGAATTTCTTATTATGTTGCAAAATAATTTGATGAAACGGCAAACTTGCAGGAAGATTAAATTCAGGCTGTACAGTAGTTACTTGACTTCAGAAGATAGTCTCCCTAATTGTACAGCGTTCACCCGAAATAGCCCCTAAAAACATCGGAAACGAAAGTTAAAAGGTTAATATCGAGTTCACCCGAGGTAATCTTTCAACTTATTTCTCCATCTTAACTTACTAGCAGTCGATTTTGCAAATTTGCTAAAAGAAGCTCGAGTTGATGGGTGACCTTTCAAATACAAATAGAGAGAAGTCTATGTTTTGTCTTTATTAAAGAGGAATTGTGATACAGAAAATGCGCTTTGGGTAAATATCAACATCGTTCGCAAATGTCAACAAATACGTTATAATTTATCGCCAATTTAACAAAAGTATTATTAAATTTGCAGAAAAAAAACCATATAATCCTCTAAAACCAGATATATTCAACTTCCCAAAATTGTTTAGTTTGGAAAAATCGGAAAGGTTATGATGGAGAAAGTAGTTGAAAGATTACCTCTGGTGAACTCGACGTACACCTTTTTACTTTCGTTTTCGATGTTTTGCTATTTGAACGCTGTACAACAGTGTGTATAGAAATATCAAATAATTTTATATGTTTATATTATATTCAGGAGAAATATACATCACCCGGAATATCAGCATATGGCCATCATGGCCAACACAAGATTACAACCAGGTGGTACGGGTAAACAACTCAGAGTCCTGTTATTCAACAACGTGTAAATTTAAAGTTCGAATCCACTACACTAATTGGGTATGAAGTATTTTTTCATTTATTGACATATCTGAGGTTGACGCAAAACTGCAGTAACTTATAAGAAGTAAATAAAGCACGTTGACAGTTTTGAGATGAAAATTCGATTTGTTTGATATTCTAACATGCTTCAAAATGTTAACATCCTTTTTATGCACTACCCGATTTTGGTTAAGAAATCACCCTGTATAACCCGTAATACAAGAGTCGTGCAAATAGCTTTAGATCTCCATGCATTCTCAAAGTGTACTTCACTTAATAGAACTCGATCATATTTTCTTCGAGCTTCATCTCCCCAAATAAACTAAAATTTCACGAAAACAAAGTTTTTAAAATGTAATCATATTAAAAATAAAAAGACTTGATATTCCAGAAAACACTTATAATTTATAAGCGACTGATGACTGACTGCAGAATTCATCACGATACTTGTACTGCGTTACTAATGCACTAAGACCTACTAAAGAACGATCTGACTTCTTTGCGTAGATTGTAAGTGTAGCTCGCAATATGAATATTACTTTTTTGAACACTTCACAATGGTTTAGTTTTCAATACATATTTCAATTTTTCATGAAAATGATGCAATTTGAATAACACTTCACATGATTGATCGGTACGTAAGTACTTGCATATTTAACGATTTTCTGGTTAAATTATTTTGACTGAGTTATGGCCCTTGAACACAATAAAACAGTTTTGACATTTTAATGATTTGTGTCCCTTGTTACACAGCAGCCTAACATGCTACAAAGTAGCCACGACGTATAAGGAACAGATTGTCCAAGATCTGCTTCATTGGCTATCGGCAGGGGACGACACATATTATCGCTGATCGCTGTTGTTGTTGTTACAGTTTAATTCAAATTGTTTTTTTATTTCTACTCCTACATAGACTTATAAACGAATTTCTTTATCTTGAACTGTATTGTTTTGTTTTGTGTGTTTGTTTAACATTCTAACACTCTTCACAATATCCCCTTTGTCTTATAGCATGATTTGGAACTTTTTCTTTGTTCTGACTAACCCATTATACACTTTCAATGATTTGAAACTATATTGATGCTAAAATACAGTTTTTCATGGAATCATTAAGGGAAAAAACTAAACTAATTTATAACAGATGAGTTTTTTTTTCTGTGTTTTTTTCTGCACCTTGTATGTATCAGTTTAGATTTTTATAGACGTTGAAATAGGGAGGGGGTATCACACATTCCATGAAGCAAACAAAAAAAGCCATAAATTTATTGATATGTTCGTGAAGTTAGCCAGACAAGCGGAACAGCCGGAGCAGCCGGAACAGATTTTCGTCTAGTCCGGTTGTTCCGGCTACCCCGGCTAGCCGGAATCCGCTTCCGGTGGAATCGGCTAGCCAGAGAAGATACAGTAAAACCTGTGCAAAAGACCATTGGTTTATTCCATAATGAAGTTTAAAATTACTTATCACCTTGATTGGCTGTGTAACACCGCACTTTGGGGTCAAACGCACTTTGGGGTCAAAATCGAGAAATTGACCCCAAAATGCGTTAATATGCTACATATCAACGCACTTACTTTGGGTTCCAGAGGTCTACAGGTGTCATCTGAGTTCTGCTTTAATACTGAGTACTGACTTATTTTCTATCTGCGACTTTGGAATATTTGAGGTAGAGTTCAAGATGGCGGTCAATACTTTATGATGCTTAAGTGATAAAAGTTTCATTAATTTAACCACTTGAAATACCTAAGAATTGTGTTCACATAACAAAATTACGGTGGCATAAAAGTGACATTTGCATTTTTTTGTTTTTTGTTTGTATACATATTTTATTTAGTTTTGTATACATACTTTTTTCATTTTTTCATTTATATTTTATGTTTGTTTTTCGTACATATTTTATTTTTGTTTTTCATACATATTTTAGCCAATCAAAACAACCTTCAAATGTCATAACAGCCCATAGTTGAGTATAAAACTAGCATAGTGGTTTGGTCAAATTTCGGCCCATTTTTGGAATCGACCCAGTCGTTTTCGGCCGTGCAAGTCTGGTTTCGGCCGACCCTTTTCGGCCCATTTTTTTTTATATTATATGTATTGTATATAATTATTGTTTTTTATTATTATATACTGTTATATTAGTGCCTATTTGGAAAGGGCTGTTGATTGGTGTTCAGTTATTATTCCATGTATATGCACCACTCAACCGCACCCCTGAGAATTGAGAATTACGAAACTTAAATTAGGTCAATTCTTTAGCACATCCAGATAATGTGCAGAACTATTTGCCAGATGTGCCGGCTCAAGGTCGGGTTTTCACCTACAGGTCAAAAGATAAAGACTTGGGTTTCATGTCCGCTCCTTATCTCCGAAACCCCATGAAGGATTTTAAGGCACCTTGTGACCAATGTTAACCTGCAGAACCTTTCTTCGGGTTACCGCGGATACTAAAAAGTGTTGTTATTTTTTTGATACCTCCAAAAATGAAAATGTTGGTATTTGCAAATGGCATTTGCAAATGGGATACTGTAATTTACAGATGGCGAAGTGTTTGAAAATGGTGTTTAACAAATGGTGAAATTATCCAAACCTCTACTTTGCAAATGGCGTCATGTAAAAATATGCACGAAAAAACAAAAATAAAATATGTACAAAAAAAACTAAAATAAAATATGTATGCAAACTAAATAAGAATACGTATGCAAAAATTAAAAAAAGTATGTATTCAAAACTTAAAAAATTATGTACGGCAAACAAACCAAAAATATGTACGAAAAAAAAAAGTATAAAAAAATACAATTGTCACTTTTATGCCATCGTTCAAAATACTCACATACAGAAATTGTGTATTCCTAGAATTAAAAGATGCTGCGAAAAATATCCCGTTCTGTCGGTCATTTACTTGATAACGTTTGGTGCCATATTACTGAGCCCCATTTTAAATATGTTGGGAATGAAATAAAATGCAGTTAATATTTTTTCCAAAGACCTATAAATATACTCTATTGCAATGTTCTGGTGAAAAATCAAGTTTTTCGATCGGACTATAAATAGTGATTTTTACAAATACATTATTAAGCTTATCAACAAACTTAAGGGTTTTTGTAAGCTGCGTAACAACCGTTCGCCAGAGGCTTTTTTTATGGGAAATCTTACATACTTCTTTAGAAAGAGCAAACATGAATTTTATTATGTTAAAATAATGGTATCAGAGAACTGTAAGTTATCTGAATAAAGTAGCGATAACTGTGAAATTATTCGTCATAAAAGAAGTCAAAACACTGTATTTGACTTCCATAAAAATTACTTATTCACTATAACTGTACTCATCATTGCCAAAAAGCAACAGATGAAAAAGATGGTTCAGGTAATTGGCCAATGTGTATTTTTTGGATAATATAGAAGAACATCAAAATAAAAAAGCTTTAAAGAAAAACAAATAAAAGCATAATGGGCCTTAAAAACGTTATTTTTAACCCTCGGGGAGATCGATACCCCTCTGTACCCCAGTGAGAATTTTACATTATTCTGAAGCTCTGCTCTTAATGTATAGTGCTTTGGGGTTGAACCCAAAAGTGCGTTTGATCCCAAAGTGCGGTGTTACACGGCTGAACAAAATAACCAAAATTATCTTAGATGAAAAAATAAAATTAAATCCGAAAACAGATTCAACTACATGAATTCCCGATTATATCTTCGTGAATTCACGAATTCAACTTCGTTTGTTAACGTTTCAACATACGGAAATCACGAATTTACGATTTTAACTTCAGGAATTCACAACTTCAACTTCATGAATTCACGATTTCAACTGTACGAGTTCATGATTTCAACTTTCAAATCATGAATTTACGACGGACACACATATACCCGCGGACACCCGGTCAGACCCCCTAACCATCCCACCATATGGGGTTCATTGCAATTGAGGCTGGGCCTCACAGGAGTCAGTCGGAAATGGCCAGATATGAGCTGAAATGACCATGTAGAGTACGATTTTCGACTCAACGTCCGCAAAATACCAGAGTATTCCCGACGGATATAACTATGCCAGAGAAAACACGGTCAGACTCCTAGCCATCCCACCATATGGGGGTTCTGTGCAATTGAGGATGAGACTCACAGAGGGCAGCCAGAATTGGCGAGATATGAGTTGAAATTACAATTTATGGCACGATCTTTGGCTCCACGTCGGCAAAATACTAGAGCATTCCCGACGGACACACCTTTGCCAGCGGACCCACGGTCACACTTTGCACGACACAATTATTCATAAATCTGTTCCTGGATTATTTTTTCATCTTAAATAGCCTTCATTTTGGTTATTCTGGCCAGTCGGAATAGACAGAGATCGAGGTGTTTAGTAATTTGAAACTATATTATGGAATTAACCAATTGTCTATTGCACAGGTTTTACTGTATATTCTCTGGCTAGCCGATTCAGCCGGAATCTGATTCCGGCAAGCCTGAGTAGCCGGAACAGCCGGACGAGACAAAAATTTGTTCCGGCTGCTCCGGCTGTCTGGCTAGCTTCACGAACATGATTAATGTATTAAGTGGTATTGGTTCATTTTTCTAGTGTTTATATTTGAAACGAAAGAGAAAGGGCACAAGAGAGGGAAAAACAATGAACATAGTAATTTTTGCATATTTCAGTAGCACTCCATAGTCTATTTCAAGTTCCTGCCGACAATGTCCTACAGGCAATACGTCTGATAATAATGATACCAAACTACACATTGTGGGAAAAAACATTTTGTTAAGAACATATATGACATAAGATTGCAAATGTACAGTGAAATTATCCGATCTGCAATAGTCAGGAAGTCAAAAAGGTGCAGTTCATTTCGTTGAAGCCCAAAATCTACTGTGGCCTGAGACAAAAAACAACACATTTTGTCCATGGCAAAAAAAAACCCTGCAAATATTCAGGCTAAAGAAACACCGCCTCTGCTTTAGCAACTCCATATGCATGCAAAGTATCACAAAAACAGGTGCTTGACTTTGTAGTTTTTTTTGTTACTGCTTAAAGTTTGAACCCCCTGTGGAATGACTTCTTTGCACCGAGCATGCTGTTTAAAAGCAATGTTTACAAAAAATGACATCTATTATCAACAGCATGTGCTTTCTGGCCATGGTTTTGAATTTGCCAATGATCATATTAAATGTCACAAATATCTTTTTCATGCTGAAAATGCATCATTTAAATCTAAAATTGTCACTATATCCAAAAATCCACCCTGGCCACTCGAAGCTGTGGCTTCCATTAACTGTAGTTAGCTGCTACCTCCTGTTTTAAAAATATGAATTGCGATGAAACAGCAAAAACTATTTAGTTACAGGGGTAATAACAATGGCTTTGGGCGACATCTCGGGATGATTCTACAAAACAAATTGTGTGTTGAAGGATATTTCAAGTGATATAACCGCCCTATTAAAATGTTACTGTCTTCATAATTTAAGTTCTTAAACAATAATATTTCAAGGAGGTTTGCATATTTTTTCAGCCAATAGAAATTCTAAGTTTACCAGAGAGCTTTAACCTTCACGAGGATTATGATTTGGAAATCAAAATACATTCATTGATCACTTACGATTATAATAATCACGAGGAAGACAATGTCACGTGTGAAATGATTGACTGGTTTCCTAAAGAGGATGATATGTTTGAACTCAGGCATGACGGAAAATTTGACTTTGATTGTAAGTATCAGTTTAAGAAGTACCTTTTTAATATCGAAATAGTAAGAACTAGGTAGATAAAATCTCCCCATTTAGATCTGTCCATCCTGGTTTTGTACTGGATATAACTTCTTGGTGTGTTTAATTTCATTTCCATAAAACAGATGACATCCTTTCAAACTTTGCTACGACGAAAATTGGAATATTGTTTTTCAATATTCGTAAGATACATGTATATCACTAAACTGTTTGCCATATTGATATCTTGCAACTTAATAGCGGTTTACACCGTAATAGTGTACCTGACCGGTACGTCACTCTTTATAACTTAGTTTATTTATTTTTTTTTTTTTTTTATATATATATATATATATATATATAATTAATATATATATATATATATATATATATATATATATATATATATATATATATATATATATAATAAAAACGTGTTGTATTATAGTTTCACCCTGGGGAGCGGTCTGGTGCCGGTCGGACGTCGTCCAATTTTTGTCCGGAGCATATCTTCCCCGCATTGAAGAATTTTAATGAAACTTCATCACTATCAGAAGCTATGTGGCACGCAATAGAAATGTTCACAACTGTGAGATGCAGTGTCATGCGCATGAACCAGGTCGCTAGGTAAAAGGTCAAGGTCACACTTAGAGATAATTGAAAACGCTTGTCTGGAGGGATTTTAATTTAAATGTTCACCATTTTGTTGCATTTAAAATTTAGGTCCTTGCGGCCAAAGTCAAGGTCCTATAAATTGGGTCAAAGTTCAGATAAAAATATGAAAACGTTTATTCGGACCATTTAGTCATCATTTATTGAGGGATTAAAACACAAATGGTCATTTTCATGATTTCGGGTGTGAAACATGTAATGAAGGTTAATATATTTAAGAACAAGGTCACTAAAGATGATTAATATAGAAATGTTTGTCCAGAGCATATCTCCTACACGCATTGAGGGATTCAAATTTAACTTCATAGAAATGTTTACAACTATAAGAAGCAATGCCATGCACATCAACTAGGTTTGAAGTTCAAAAGTCAATGTTACACTTTGAGGACATTGAAAAACGCATGTCCGGAACAAAACGTCTACATGCATAGAGGGACTTCAATATAACTTGGCACAATTGATCACTTTAGTGAGGCAGTGTCGTTTGAAATGTAACACTCAAAGTTTAATGAGAAACGCTTGTTCGTAACAAAACTTCAACATTTTCATGTAAGTTTGCACAAATGTTCATTATTTTGAGGCTTAGTGTTGCGCGCATAAACCAGGTCCCTGCTACCAATGTCAAGGTCACATAGAGAGGTCAAAGTTAAGCTAAATTGATGATGTGTACAGGGAAAATTAAGTCATCTTTTATCGATGGGTTGTTACACAAATGATAATAACTATCATGACTACAAGTGTGACCCATGTAATTTAGGTTAATATTTGCAAGGTCAATGTCACTATAAATTATAAAATATCCAGATATTATCCGGATATTGCCCATCACAAATTTCATATATGCATATCTATAATGCCCACATCTCTGTCAAAAGCTTTTGTGACCGGCGTATTTAGCGGCAAAGTTGCCCATGTTTATCATGCGTGGTTGTTTAGCTTATCACAATTTACATTTTAGCATACAGCCTTTATAAGTTGAGATGTCAACAACCAGGCTGTGGTTACAAATACCAACAACCAAGGGCTTATTACTGTGATACTGATATCGGTTGTTTGACTCACAATCGGACTCAACAATATACCGTAACAATACAGTGTTGGGACGCGTACAACTCAACCGACGTTGAAGTGTTTACATTCAACATTGATAAGAATCAAGTTCCAGTCTATAGACATTTGCCTAGTAAGATAAATTCAACCGTTCATCATCATCTTCTTAAAGTGATATTGTTTATTTGACTATTTCGAATAAAAATGCGCATTAACCTCTTTTCTTTCATAATAGAATGTATGTTTGCATTTTGACTAACAAACGACACTTTTCTAGTTTACATATTTTAAAACCATTTTTAAGAAATAATAATATACACTTGTACACATCATTTCTAGGGGGGTCTAGGTGACAAAAATAAATTTTTTGAAAGAAAACGTTTTGCAAATTGCCCAAATGTGACAGTAAAATTCCGTTTCCATGATAAGTATCGATCCTAGTAACATTGTAAGCAGTCTACATTTGTGAAATAATGTTAAACCAAAAGCGAAGTGGAACGATATAAGATGACTATACAAGGCCATCCAAAATCATATTTTAATATAATTATATAGTAAATATTTCTTTTCAGCTCACATTGATCTTAATCGACAGAACGTCTCATATCTGGACACAATTTTCGAGATAATGTACTCAGACGCTGAAAACGAAAACTTGATTTATGAATATACATACCAAGACGTTGATACTAATGTTGATCCGAACTACTTTCTGGGAACAACTTGGGGAAACTATTACAGTTAAGTATGAATGTCAATATAGAAACGAAGAGGATGATCTTTATATATAAAAGTTGAATATTTGGCTAGACTGACATTAGTCGACGTGTTTTATGTGACGTTTCAGTGAGATAATACTTACCACACGATAAACAAGTCCGAAGTACAAACCAGTCCGAAGCATATTTTTGCAAATGACACACAGTTCATAAACTTCAAAATGTTCATTTAAGCAATGAGTTATCTGATTCTTTCATTTCTCATGCAATTGGATGCATGATATGTGCACACTTGGTACCTCTATCTGTTGTGTCATAAAAGGTCCTAAGTGTATCCTAAGTCCCAGAATTTATGACAAAGTAAAGGACTAACTTTAGACCGTTTCAGTAAATATTTTCATCTTAAGTTAACATTTTAGATTTATTCTCTTGAGGAAAGCTACTAAATACAATGGCACACGCTTCTACTCACAATACGTAAATGTCCATCTGCATCGCTATTTAGAAATGAAAAAGTCTAAACATAAGTTTCACAAGTTAGGACATTGACTTTTAAACGAACATTTTCTCAGTTTTGATCTTAAATCATATAAAATACTAAGAACTTTTCATGAAACGCAATCCTGATGTGTAAATACCAACTTGACTTCGCAAATTTTAACTCAACTGATGGAAGAAAATGAAAATGTATTGTACTGCCCCATGATCAGTGTTGGTGTCACTTTTTGGATTAAGTTAGTATCTCCAAACCTCCTGAAGGGAATAGCTACGAACTTCACAGACTTGTTCTCTGTGATTATCTTTCATGATCTGCACAGGTCTTATATCTCTGAGCTACCTTTTTTATAGATTAATCTTCCTTAACTTATTGTCAACGGACAGCTCTTATTAAGCTTAAAACCACATGTGTTAATTGCTTTGTGGCAGATGTGGAAAGTTGTACTGTCTCTTTCATTTTTTATTTTTTAATGAACTCCTGGTCCTTCGGGATCATTTATTCCAAGACTTTTAATGCTGACTGTTTCTTAACGTGTATTATAAATCAACCGATTCTCGGTTGCGAGGCAAATAGTGTAGTTTCCAAGATCTCCTTGAACAAGCTCAATGAAATTGAGTCGGAGATATCCAGTTATCCGATTTGGATTGTTTTTGTGCTCTATTGAATTCATGATGATGTCTTTACTCACAACAATGTGTTCCAGCTTTAAAATAGTTCATCATTCTTGATTTCAGTGGTGTTATATTTTCAAGCCCTTTTATTTGATTGATAATAAAACTTAAGGATTAAACTTAGGCCAGTGATTATTAAAACTTAGGAATTAAACCTAGGCCAGTGCTAGCGGGAAGAGAAGAGAGATATTGCTTTTTTACTTATCTCTCCTGAACAGACTCAATAAAAGCTTCTGTTTCAATTATCTCCTCTACAGAGTTATTTTATTTAACTATGATTGAGACAAATAACTCATTGACCAATTTCATTATTTGTTTCTAGATCAACTAGGCAATATAACCATGACGACATATCTATGGGATAAGGAAGTCAACAAAACTTACAGGATTCATGTTTGTGGACACGAGAGGAGAAACGAGATTTGTGAAGATCTCACGGTCGACTTAGAAGGTAGAATACAAATTTCATACTAATTTTAATGAAGTTAATAATAAATAATATTTCTTAACGAGATATTCAACGCTAGTATTTTGTTTTTGTTTTATTTTAAATTACGTTTATGACAATATGTATATGAAGTTGGGAATTTTCAGCGTTATCTAGTAAGAATACCCTCATGATACCCGGTCACCATCAACAGGAAGAAGCACTTCTGTGCAGCCCAGAAATATGCATTCACTTTAACTAGACAAAGCATTAAAAGTTCATAATGTTACAAATATAGTGCGTACGTAAGTGAATAAGAAATAGCTCTTAATCATTTCCAGCTTTTCACAACTCTAATGTTACAAAATATAGACATGAATTATTCCTTTCAGAATATTGCAGTGCCACGCCTCAATGTAATGATGCCACATTTTCCACGGATACCGAGGCTAGTGTAGGTGACGAAATGTTTGACATATCATCTCTGGTCTTCGGCGGTATCTTTAACGACCTCAGTTACTCTATAAAGTCAAACCCTTCCTCGTTATTTGCACTTGATTCTTTAACAGGTATAGTTCTTTTTTATTGCCATTTTGGAAACATCATCATTCTTGGTGCAAAAGGTTATCACTTCCAGTAACAAAGTCAATCGTCTACATGTCTTTCCTTGTTTTCGATTCTTGTAACGTTTGTAACGATGTTAAACTTAGATAACATTTTCATATAAACTAAAGATTTAAAAACTTTGTAAAGGTTAAAACTAAGTAGACCTGCTCATAGCATTGAAATACGACGGTAAAGTTTATAATTCAGACGATTCCTTTTGGTTCAGGATCTGTGACATTGGCAGAAAGATTCGATGAAATATTTGACTCGACCACGTATTCGATAATTGCATACGTTTACAACAGAGGAGCATGCAGTTATGCCCAGTGTCAACTTAGTGTTGTAGTTTCCGCCGTCAATTACGTAAGTTGTTGATAAATCATCATCTGTATATGTTATAACTTAGGAAACCCCGATTATTTTCCAAATTTGCACAGGGCAAGTATTTGAATAAATAAAAAAATTATGACTAATTGATAATAAATAACATGTGTTACAGTTCGGATCGGAATATCCGTCTCGAGTGTTCCCGCCAATAGGCCAGTAACGAGGCTTGCTAAGTTGTACATGCCAGATATTTCCTTGCATATTCGACGATAGTTTAAATGGTTAGCTTCAATTAACTAATTTTCATGAAAATTGGTGTCATTTCATTCGCTAGGCGTACAAATTTACAACTTCATACAATACAGCGAAATGACGCCATCGTAAGCACGCAGTTTCATAAATAACTTTATTTTGGAGCATAAAGTACATCTGGAGCCCCCGCCCAACCCCGTCCCGGATGTCAGAAAAAAATCCCAGCATGAACAAAGCTATAGGAAACACCCATTTGATGTGTAGAACATTATTACAATAGGGATCTATGCGAAATAACGTATTTGTCAGTGTAGGAAAAAAGAAAACTCACTATGCATTTGCATGCGTATAAAATATAAAAACAGATATTTAATTTGATAAAAATTATATCACTGCATTTTTATACTTCTATTTTCGTTTTGTGATTAAAAAAATGCATATAAGTTGGTACCTTATGCATCAATTATTCGTATATGTATTGAGATCTAACTGTCGTTACGAATTTTTAGATAAAATGACGATAAAACATAAAATTTAACTGAATAACTTGCAAGGACCATAAAACAATACGAAAGCAATCGTTGAATCGAATTAATTTTATATATGCCATTATTTCTTTTCAATTAAAAATTTCGGCCTTTTTTATTAAAGCCGGTTGTGATAACAAATTTGCCAGCGACTGTTCCTATATCAGAGGACACAACAACAACAAAAACATTGTTTACAGTGGCTACATCTGATGATAACCCTGCCGATACATACACATGTGCAATTGTGAACACAATTTCAGTGGAACCTTTCTACCTTGATAGAATTCCACCTATATCTGGAGGTAAGACTATAGCATATCAGTAATTGGGTCGTTGGTTTTGTAAATGTAATGGAAATAATGATACAAAAGTTGAACCAGTCATTTTAAAGTTTCTTTAAAAGGTGGATATTTGGAAGTTTAATTAAATATGCTCTCCTACCGAGGTAAGGTACAAAACCACTAATTTTATCTGCCGTTGAATATGACTTAAAAGTTCAAAACACTTTCAGGGTCAGGTAACTTAAAAGTAGGCTGATAACCTACACTTTTTTTCATCAATTTGTTTCATCATTGTCAATCATAATTCTTAAAGATAAAGAAAATTTCTTGCTTTACTTTAAATTTTATTTTCCTTTTTTGCCTTTTTCCAAGACAAAATCCAATTAACACTTAATCGCAAAATAATCACTGTTATTTTTGAACTTGCATCATTTTATAAAGTATGATGGGCATTATCAACTGATGCGAACATAAATTTAACACTTTATGAAAATATAAATAACAAATACATGCATATTATAAGCCGTTGACATTTGTTTTTATCGAAAATCCGAAAGAAGATACATTTTTTTGCTTATTTCATTTTCTAGTTATAGCCAGTTTGAAAATACATTGATGAGGCACTTATAAACTATTTGATGAAATATCAAAATATATCTATTCCGTAAGTTATATATATCTTTTACAGATTATGCAATACTTATCAGAGAGGACGGAGGGTTGTCGTCTGCTACAACAACATATTCCGTGTCAATCGAGTGCACGGACAGTCATAGCGGAAGTGATACAGACGTCCTGACAATTACTGTAACACTGAACGAAGCTCCGATTTTCACAAGTTTTTCAAGTATGTGCACTGGCTTATATGATATTATGTAGACAAAATTTTAATAATGTGTGTAACCGCCACGTGAAGAATATAGCTCACAACCAGCATTTTACCTCAATTTGGACATGACCACGACTGAAATTTTAAATTTTATTTCGGCAATGGTACGAACCACCTGTATTCAACCTGCAACTGCAACATATGGAACCAGTTTTATACCAAGAATTGCAAATTTACCTCAAAATTGCATTGGCCGCTTTACTTGAAGCATGAGGAGAATGGTTGAGACTATTATCTGGACATGTTGCGGATTAACACGTTATCAAAAAATTTGCTACATAGTGTCATTTTAGGTAAATAACCGTCAATATTTACAAAGCATATCTACCATTAGATGTTTTGTAAACGCTCCAAACCATACTTATAAACATTAACATTTTTGGTGAAAACCAACACATTTGCTTGTGCTTTGATAATTTGGTTAAGAATTAACTTAACTCATAGATTAAATTGTTTATGATATCTTAATTGGTATCATACTAGTCTCTATAACAATATATAGAGGATATTTGTTTGTTTGTGTGTAAGATGAAATTCTATTTCATCGAGTGGGCTTTAAAAACAGTATTCTCACGAGTGGCCTAGCCACGAGTGACAATTCTGTTTTTAAAGTTCACGAGATGAAATAACATTACATCTTACACAACAAACAGACAAATTTTCTTTTTATTTTATGCTTAAAAACAAGTTAAAACGAAATTTCCATAATTTTAACGTTAATATTAAAATCTATTTCCCCCATTGAGAGCCCCATTTAGACGGAATTTCTCATTTAAAATAAGAAGTCTTGAGCTGTAAAATAAGTCCGCCAATCAAGGTTAAATGACGGTGATATTTATTCATTTTATCAAAAAAATATGAATGATCGCTTGTTTAAATAATAAAAACAAACAATTTTTGTAGGAGAAAAAGTCCAACCATCCATCCATATTTCTGTTACTTACTGCGAATTTATATTAGACCTGGCTTTGTAAAATGTAAGCGGCAGCCATTTTTTAAAGTATTGTATTTCATGGGAGGAAAATAATTGTGTAAGATTCAGAAGGATATAATTTGGATTTGTTGGTCATACACCTTTTTAAAAGAAAGAAAACTTATTTGAGGATTGTAACAGACAAAAAATAAGTGTTGACAGAAGTGAAAACATTCAGAAAAGAAGCTAGGAAAATGGAAAACTTGGAAGCTTGCTAAGGAACGCTGGGTTGTTTTACTTATTTTACGAGTGATGGCTGTCAATGCTTTTCAATTTTTCATAAAGCATACGGCAGTTATTGCTCGTAGGATACTTTAATATGCCCAAATGTCATCAAGAGCAGTTTTGCATGGGGAAGGAATGTATTTTTCAGACTGTAAAAACGAAACAAAAAAATTTAGAGACGAAATTTGGTGATTGGAATTTGAAGGAATAGAAGTAAGTTTTCTCTCTTTACTACTTTTGACATTTAAGTTATTTATCTATTTCAGCTTTGCTATTTCTTTTAACAGCCTGACATTGTCAGAATTGTCAGTAAAAATAAAATTGAGGTACCACATGGGGAAAATCTTAAAAAAGTAGTTTCATCATTGAAAAAAGTGAAATTATATTTTGATAATTTTCACTGTGAAATTATCAAATATAATTTTCACAGATAAATCGGTAATCCACTGAAAAGCATAAAATAAAACTGGCTAATTGAATTATTACTCACTTATCTTCTTATCCCTAATTGATATTTGACAGTAATAGAACTTGAAGCCGGAAATGTCCATTTGAGAAATGCAATTGCTTTAATGTAAACTTGGTTATTTAATTATTGGCATTGATTTTAGCTTATCTTTAAACTCAAGCTTTTTCATTTTTCTGAACAGCCGCTACGACAAACGCAATTTCTGCAGATCCCATGAATTATAAGGTTGGTGACACACTATATACAGTGGCCGCTACAGACAATGAAGGAGATGATCTTATCTTTACATGTACTATAGCCAACTCGCAAGTACCTTATGAATGTGAAACAGGTAACATTTGACGAAAATGAATCATATGTTTTTGTTTGTTGTATGAATGTAAAACAGGTAATCATTGCTAAAATTACAGGTATTTCTTTTTAAGATTGAAATATATGAGCCGCGTCCCGACAAAACCAACATAATGGGTTTGCGACCAGCATGGATCCAGACCAGTCTGCGCATCTGCACAGTCTGATCAGGATCCATGCTGTTCGCTATCAGTTTCTCTACTTGTTATAGGGTTTGTAAATGAACAGCATGGATCATGATCAGACTGCGCGGATGCGCAGGCTGGTCTGGATCCATGCTGGTCGCAAACGCACTATGTTGGTTTTGTGTTGACGCGTACTTTCTACTTTACCATGATGATAGTTATTAAAATTCGCTTTCTATCTTAAAGACGTTTGTATTATTCGACCGAAAGAATGTCATTGAAAAGAAATGCATTCCGATTTTTTGAGAAACAAGAGTAAGTATGGAGTGGTATCAAAACTCTTTTTACAGAAAGTAAGTAAGTAAGTAAGTAAGTAAGTAAGTAAGTAAATTCTTTATTATAGTGACATGTGTTATACGTATATACATACACATAAAGACACAAAGATGAACACCCGGCCCATAGGACATATAAGTCACCTTAACAAAAGATCATAACCTGAGCATGTGGAAAGTATGTGGATCTTCTGACAGAGGAACAAAAAAGTAGCATTGTGAGAAGAAAAGACACAACCAAAATGAATAAAATAATATCTGTTTTTGTATTTTCTAGAAGCAACATCTGTAAAGTTAAAGATAAATCGGGACCTTAGAATAGTTGATGATAATGGTCAGACATACAGTGTCCAAATTTGCATGAAAGACGCCAAACATGCTGACCAATGTGGAGATCTAGATGTCACGTTTACTCGTAAGTGAAAGCAATTATCATTACCTTTTGACATTTATCTTATTATGAGATTTACAGAAAGAAATGATATGCATTCATTGCACAAAAAAGATAATCTACATACACTGGTACTGTAAATTTTCGAACTGATTTTTTTTCATATCAATTATAGAGAGGATATTTGTGTCTAAATGATGTTTTTATATTATACTTGTTTTGAAGATTTTAACAGGTTATATGGTTTGTAAAAACGATAATTTGTTATATTTTGCTGTTAGTGTAATATTACCTTTATATCACTTACACTGGGCCTTATATTACCAAAGTGTCAGAGATACATAAAAACGTAATGTTATTACAATCAATCTAAAGTAAAGTCACAATGTAAATACTCTTTTTATTGAATAATACATCAATTTGAATTTACAAATCTCATAAATGTAAAAGAGTAAGTGATACTCCATCTGTACAATATCGTTCTGTTTTGATACAATTTGCCATCTCTCAAGTTTATCATTTTACAGGAGTTAAAACTCACCCAGAAATAACCAACTTACCAGATTCAGCATCGTTTCCAGAAGATACCTCCGTCGGAACGGCTTTATTCACGGCGGCGATATCAAACCCTGACGTCGGCGAAACTACTACTGTTACCGTCAGAGTTGACCCGAATTCAGAATTATCTGTGTTCACCTTGGATACGTCAAGTATTTTTTTTTTATAAAGATACACTGGCACTAATATAATGCAATATTGTTCCTTAATTTAGATTGCTACTGGCAAAAATGTTGTTTTATTTTAGTTGTTCAACAACTTTAATTTTATCTGTCACATCTCAAACGAAAATGCATAGCAAGTTACCCAATTTAATTGAAATAGAATAGTATACTAGTATTCGTATATTGAAAAAATAAAAAACAAAACAACCTTTTATGCCATTTATAAAATGGTATACTCATGCTTCGAGTATTTTAATCACTAATGTTTGAGTTCATTTTTAGATGGAATTTTGTCTCTTGGCCAATTTCTTGACTATGAACGTGTCAACAGCTATATGTTCACGTTCTCCATAAGAGATGACCATCTTGATGGACTAGCGGAGAAAACTCTTAAAGTTGCCGTGACAAACGTCAATGAAGGCAACTCTATAAGTGCTACAACAACTACTATATCATTTACAGAGGATACGGTAATAAGAGCTTCATTTGATTCTCTCAATCGATAATTTCGTATATATTCTACAAACTGCATCTAATTGATAATGTTAATTGTTTTAACTTCATTTTGCGATGAACCTGCTGATTCAAAGCATTCATTCATATTTGATTTAAAGAAGTTATACTTATTAAAGTATACAAAGTACTTTTAATTCTGTGAACCAGCTTTTTCGGATGCAATTGAATTGTAAATGTAAAACTTTAGTTCAATATTCACACTTTTACTGTAACAGTTATTCTTTTAATAAATACATTCATTGTAATCGTTACGTATGAAAACAGAACAGTTTGACATATTTTTTGCTATTGTTTTTAGATTTAAAAACTACAACACAATATAGCTTGAACTAATGCATGTGTATTGTCAATATAGGCTTGTGATAATAATGCAATTCATATATGACTATGCTGCATTATCGAATCATTATCTGTTTGACTTTTCGCTTGCAAAACCTCTTGCGTCAACTAAATAATTGATACAGCGTCTGTCTCAAATTGGAACTGCTTTTGTTCATATGGATTATCGTGTCCATAACATTTGAACAAAGTAAGTTTGCTTTATAATTAGAATAATGGAGATAAAGTGTCTCTTAAACGGGACAGTTGATCCGATGCTTCTTATTATTTTATATGTTGTTGATATTTAAGGAAATCTCTTTTGAAAAAGATTGTGGAATAAAAAAATGTATTCTAGCAACTTCAATTTCCAGACAGCGGGTACCGAACTATCGGATCCTGGATTGTCTTGCACTGATATAGATGGTGACACAACACAATATGCCATACAGAGTGGCCTTCATAATGACTACTTTAGGTAAGTGGACCTGACAACAATTTTTTAAATCAAAGCGATTTTTGGTACTTTAGTCATTTAAAGCTTGTTTCAAACACTTTTAACCGCACCATAAACCACTTGTAAGGTTCAGCACGAACAAAATGGACTTCAATTAAATTAATCATGTTTGTTTGAATGTAAATTATATTTCTGTTCACTGCAGGTGTTTTTCTGTTCTTGTTGTTTTCATGTTTTTCGAAGACACATGTGTTGACCAATGATTTGAATATAAAAATCAAAACTGAAACTTTTCACGAGTCAATCTAATCTTTCTACTCTTTCTTCTTCAGGACAGGACCTTCGAGACATTTTTGTATACACACAATTTTATCGCGTACTTTTTCGTAATTTTCAAAGATTATCCCTCATTTATGTTTTGTCTTGTACAGTAATTATATGTAATGCTAATTGTTCTTGTTTTTTAAGTATTGACAGTAAAAATGGACGCATAACACTTGTTAAAGTATGGGATTTGGAAGACTCGAGCACAACTTTACCATCATCAACATCTTTGATAATAAGTTGTTCAGATCCTGGCAGTCTTAGTTCAACAACAGCGATAACGGTGAACGTACAAGACGTCAACGACCACACACCTGTTCTGTTAATTGATGCCGGTTTCAGTCAACCAATAGCAGTAATTCATTGTCTTTATTAAAAATATGTCTTGATAACTCGTTGTTTTTGTTTTACTACTTGTAATGTGCCTACTTATTTTTGATCAGAATGTCTTATATTAAACATTTTATTTTTATAAAATTTTATTTGTTCAGCTGTTCTATTAAATGAAACATTCTTTACTACCTAATCTTTTTCACTATTTATAGATTTTTAACAGAGGAATCTTTTTCCAGATTGTTGTTTTATCAAATACATATGTTTTGTTGCATTAACTATTATAGCACTATCTTCGACAATGTCTTTGGGATTTTGCATGTTTTACAATTCTTAAAGTAAATAAGTAAATAATATGCTGTAAATATGCACATGATTATGATGGGTTTTTAAAAAAAAATCAACAACAAAAAACAACACAAAGTCATGAATCTCATTGAAAAGAGCCATTAAGGTTTTGTTATACTTAGCTATTTTATATTTCTTCTGGATCATAAGACATTATGTCATGACAAGTATAAATGGTAAAAGTACAAGTAAAAATCAAAAAGAGTTTACATTTTGCCATATATGTTTTCAATGTCTTATCGTATTTTATATTCTGTTTTAATGAAAAATAAAAACCCACGTGGCACATTGGAAGTTGTATGAATTAACATTCAGAATGTATCGGAAACGCTCATTTAATCAAATACAGTGGGATAGTCCTCTTATATATTAAGCTGTATTAAGTATTTGTAATGATTAATTATTGGTCATCACTATTAGAAATTCAAGCTTTTAAAATATATTGCTATTTCACTCATCTTGAAAACGAAAACATAAGCATTATGTCACTTAAAATCCACCTCATTATCTTTTAGATAAGCCCTTCAACAAGTTTGTATATCGACCTTATGACATTTAGCGCGAGCGATTTAGACCGAAGTGACAACAACGATTTTGAATTTGAGATCATGGGTGAAGGTGTTGGGGCTGAATACTTTAGAATGGTCAAATCTGGTACTTCAACAGCAAAACTTAGACTGAAGAAAGCGCCTGACTTTACCAATGATAAAATGTTTTCGATAACAGTCAAAGTAAGTGTAGATTGATTTTTCTTTTCTTTCTGTCATTTAGATCTCATTATTATATTGCTTTTCTACGTTTTATTGGTAATTTTTATTGACTTTCTGCTATGAATATAAACCAAATTGAAGTTTGATAATCTATTATTTATAAGAACGTGCATTAAAATTTGATTTTCATGACTTACAAGACAACAGACAATTTATATATTATGGCAGAAAATCACAATCTAAAACAGTTTTTCAAACTTTTACGCTTTTCTTGATTTATTCTGTTTTATTCGATTAATTATTGGATATGTTTTATTTATGAACATGATACAAATTTGTAATAATATTTCGAAATTTAAAAGGTGTCCGACGGGGAAACATTGCCATTATTTGATGGCGAAACTATCTCTGTGAATTTCACGGCTGGAAATCCTGACGCTAATAAATCGAAACCAAAAGCAAAATGTGTGACCTGTACAAGTAATGGCAGGGCATTATTAGCTGTACTCATCATCGAGGGCGTGGTCATCGGACTGTTTGCTTTGCATATTGTTTACAATTGTTGCAGTTTTAAAGGCGATATTGTGTAAGTATAATTTTCTCGGATACATTGGAAAATAATTTTAGTAAAATTTTGGTCTTCAATGGGAATATTTACAAGTATATCAAATATTGAAAAAAAAAAGAAAAAAAGGATATAGAATTATATCATTTCTATATTCATATAGAATATTTCTTGGAAAATGTTATAAGAGTCCTAAAGGGATCTGGTACGAACAAGAATATAATGAACAATAATATTGTGCTGTTGAAATGTTTATTATCTGTTATATTTAAATATGTAACAGCGGATCATCATGTATCTCACACTTACATGTAACAACAACATCAATATATAGGTTTTCCATTTTTCTTATCAAGTCCGATGGTGCCTCACTATTTTTTATGCAATACGAAAATATGTCTTCTAATTAAGCTCTCGGTTCTTGTGTTTGTGTAAACTATGCTTTGCTTCAAATCATCTGCTTTTAAATGATACAAAATCATGACGAAATTCGTTCCCATAATTGCACCTTACATTATAACAGCTTGAAAAATATGGCTGCTGCAATGCAATCTTACATAAAAGCCCGAGTAAAACTAGGAAAGTTTGCTAAAAATGTTTTTTATAATATCTGAAACATTTATGGCAACAACGAAGTAAATGCAGTATGTTTTACATTTCAAAGACGAGGCACCACCCCTGTTAACGTTATTTTAATGATTTCGACTATGAATATGAATTGCCTACAAGTTTCATTATAAAATAACATCAAGATGATCATGTTAAAATTATTCCGTCGTTTTCTTTTCTATAGCCGACAGAGATACCCTAATATATTAACGTCATTTCAATAATAATTACTATCAATACGACTTACCTACAAGTTTCTTTATTAAAAAAACATCAAGATAGTATGCTAAAATTACTTTGTCTTTTGCTCTTTATAGCCAACAGAAACGCCAAAATATGAAGACTCCAAGTGATAAACAATTCTCCAGACCGTCAGAAACAGCGGGAGGCAGTGGACTATCTGGGAGACGTGTAGGTTCAGCTGTTACGATAAGCGCCATAGAAATGCAAGTACGCCAGACGAATAATGAAAGGAGAAGACGAAATGACTCCAGTAGCAGTGAATCAAGCAGTTCGTCATCTGACAGCGACGATAACCGGGTTAGACCTTTAGATATAAGGTAAGATAAATAGTTCCAATAGATTAGAAAACAGATTATTATTTCAAACTAGTACATAACACATTTTATTCATGTTTATGATTTTACTTATTTCGACACTCGAACCGCAGTTTTAAATGAAATTTAAAGAATTTTAACTGGATATAAGTAAATACATGCAGATTTTAGACGATAGACGTTCGTAGGTATAGCATTGTCATGATAATAGACTATACATGTATTTATATTATATGATTGTATTTAATAGTGTGAATAAATTGCCACAAACTCATTAAAATCATAAAACAACATTTCGCCTCTTGGCGTTACGGAACAAAAACGATAATAAGATTTTAATGAGATTGAAATTTGCCTATATTTATGTACGTACAAGTAAGGTCGAAACAGCACCCTAAATAATACAATAAAGCACATTAAGATGGTTTGAAAACCTGTTAATTATATTGTTAATAAGCATCATATTGCTTTATAACACAAGTAAGCACTATATCTTTTTTAGACCCGAAACTGGTAATAGCAGATTTAAGCCGCCACATTCAAGTAGCACAATGAAACCAGAAACTCCAGGTCTTCCACCACCAATGTATACATTTAGAGGTGGTATTGTCAATAATACTTCTGATGGAGGACTCGCCCCAGGGTTTATTGTATAGAAGTGTGTTTGCACTTCATTAATTGAAAACTGAGGTTTTTGGAGGGATTTGATAGCAAACCAGAGAGTGAATAGTTGTAGTAGAGATGAAATTTTACAATCATTAAACTTTTACATATAATGTAAAACGTATTGTGTAATTGTTCCAAACAACGAGTGTTTAATCTTTTCTTACTTTAATGTCAAGGTCAATCATTCATTTATTGCATTGAATGCGTTATTTAATTTAATCATTTGTTTAAACTTTAATCAAACTCTAAATGTATGTCATATAACATTCATTAAAATATTGTTCAAAACAAAACAAAAAATCATATAATAACCATCACGGTAATATGGGGAATACTCTCTCTCTCTCTCTCCCCCTCTCTCTCTCTCTCTCTCTCTCTAAATTAATTTATTAATTTTCATGTATCTTTTTTCTAAAATGTGTGCTTGTTTAATCAATAGTGCTATAATTTAGTTTTTAATCATTTATTTAATCTGCAAACAAATTAATTTATTTTAAAGTAGAAACAATTAAAACTTAAAATTAAATCAAGACAAGCATCCATGTCATCGAATGTATAACTTTGTCTGAGTGATGTAATTTCGAAATAAAAGCTCAAAACAGTTACTATGTTTGTCGTCTCTCGTCTTTTATGTAGCATATATTGTTTTATTAGTTTAAACAATAATAATCCACACATTTACATAATAAATTAATAAAATAAAATTTACGGATTGAGTAGGAAGCTTGTAAAGCTTTTTTGAAAACTCTCTCGTCTCTCGTCTTTTATGTAGCATATATTGTTTTATTGTAAGCTTGGTGTAGACCAATAAATTGTGTGTAAAATTTCCAGTCATTTGCTTACTCTGTTTTTCCAGAATAATAATTCTACTTGTAACTTGTAAAATGACTCAAAACTGAAAAGCGTTTTCATGTTTTTCACTCAAACCATGCTAACAATAGCACAAAACACGGTTTTCAACTTGTTTCCGTGTATATTTTTTAAATCATCTTTTGCATATCTTTTTGTTAGTGCCCTAGATGTTTTATGTAAGAGATTCAAATTTTATGTTTTTCGAGTGGTATTCCGTTCACTTACGGATAAATTGTTAATAACATTAAAGTAATCAAGGAAAGTCGGTAAGTTAGATTGACTGCCAAGATATGGCCGAAACATGTGTAAAACGATCGGCGTTAAACCAGAAAAAAAAAGGTTTCAGTACGATTTCTGCCGAGTCTACAGTACCCGTTTTAGTAGGAAACTTGTGTTCTGAACGTGCGTATTGGTGGTAATGACTGGCGTGTCTTTTTATTAACTCATATGCAATTAAGTGATTAATTGTTCATGATGAAATCGTCATTAATATAAAAAATACAACATTTCAAAATATTGCTAAGCAAACGGTATATTTTCTTTGATAATGATATAATATTTTTCAACCTTTCGTTCGAAATATATTATTCTCGTAAATGTGAACTATATAGAACAATATCCATAAGAAGCTCATCTAAGGTATTTTGTAAAACATTCTATAAGTCTTGCATATCAGGCAGGCTTATCTACTGCTTACAATGGTGCTAGGAAAAAATGTATTAATTACTAACCACGTGTAAGACAGACAGCGTGCTTTAAATGACGTCATTCCTGCAAGCCTTTAATGAATGAATTGCGTTCATAAGATGACGTCACGTTTTGTTATGAATCAAGCTGTAAAGTCATAAGCTTTTTTATCACATAAACAGCGAAGCAGGAGTGTAATAAAGCCATTTTATAAAAACGATATTACACTACTGTAGTGTAATAACACTTTAACGTGTCGTCATTTGCGCTATATGTAAACATAGCGTTAAAGCGCGCAAATGTTAGTGTTACACTATGGGCGCGTCATTGAAAAATTACTTATTTTAACAGTTTACTATTCTTATTTTATATATGTGATAAATAGAATATAATATTCGTGTAGATTCAATACTAAATTTATTGAACTCGTTGAATAAAACAGAGGCTCGCATAATATGATCTTATTCAACACGTTCAATAAATTTAGTATTAAGTAATAGAAAGAGCACCGAAACACGAGGCTATCTGATTTGTACGAGGGGGCGTAGCCCCCGAGTATAAATCAGGTTGCCCAGTGTTTTGGTGTTCTTTCTCTTTTGTATCATAGTCAAACATAAAAACACGTTCCATGTTGTCACAATTTTAAACCCCGGGAAAAAGTAACCAATGATCGAGCATCTGAATATGATATATCTGCCGCTTTCCCTTTCTCTGCCGTCACAATATGTAAACCCCAGCAAAAATGAGCCAATCAACGGGCATGATCTGGAGTGCGGGTAACTGATACCTGCACTCCAGTTACCGCACTGTGCATGTATATGTATACGATTTAACTCTGACACTTTTTCAACAGAAAGGTCCCCAAACTATGATACAAACTACACTTATTCAATATCCTCTATATAAGTAAATAACGTGCTGCATAAAAATATAAGTTTTTGTAACTTCTTACCGAAATAAGATTATTAAAGTTTAATATGCAAGAAAAATAATCAAACATCCGGCTGTCGTTACAGACGGGAATATCTAGCTTTTGAGTAACTATTTAGCGGAAACCTGACGGGACCTCGTTACTGCCGTAAGCAAGTTTTCCGGGTCTGTACCAGTAGCCATTTTAAGATCCTTAAACTTTTACCTTAATAATAAAATAAATAAATAATTTATTAAATATAATAAAATATTGTCCGTATGTTCACGGTCTTTGTATAAGTTCATGGATGCATATACAAAAAAAAATGAGAGGGTTTTTCGGTACATGCCTCATACAAGTAAAAAAAAAATAAAAAGAGAGATTTTATCCATATGGAACCATTTTATTTTAAGCGTTTTTGTTTTACCTGAAATATAATACGCTATTGACACCTGTATATGCGTCATCGCATTTTGTTATTACCTATTGTACATACCCTTTAAAGTTTTCAACTGAAATTTAGAACTTATCATAACAAACAACATGTCTTTTAAGAAAATTTTATAATGGGATTTTTCGTCGGCTTAGTTATTGTATTTGTCTGCTTTACAGTTTCCGGTTAGTAAATTTAAATATTATAATGATAATAGTAATAAATATTTTTTACGAATATATAATATTATACATGTGTATGTATTTAAATTTGATTCTTTGTGTTGATCGAATATTAAAAAAACTGGTTTACTGGAAGTGCAGAAAATAAATAGAGTATATTCAAGTTTTGTCAATAAATAAGGATTTTTGATTTTTTTTCGAGTGAATTATGGCAATTTTAATACCATGCGTTAAAAGAAATCCCGTGTTTTTATAGAAAAACTTGCATATGTCCTCTCTCTCTCTCTCTCCCTCTCTCTCTCTCTCTCTCTCTCTCCCTCTCCCTCTCTCTCTCTCTCTCATATTGTAATGTACCTGTTTGTCCGTTTGTCCGTCTGTTAGCAGATTTTCGTGTCCGGTCTGTATCTTTTGAACCGGTGGAAGGAAATTGAAACTACTTAGCAAAAATGTTAACGAAAATGAAACGATGTGCAGAGCGCAAGTTTGACCTTTATCAGGTCAAGGTCACACTTAGTAATTTTGTATCAATGTCAAAATTTTGTGTCCGCTCTGTTTCTTTTAAACCAATATCACACCCGGCAAACTGTCGCTCCACTTCAAATTGTGGTGTACGGTAAAACGAGTGGAAGTTCTCCCGGGCTTAATATAATTTTGTTTTTGTAACAGCTTAGATCATTGAAAGCGTAAAACAATCCTACACGGAACTACATTTTTCCGTTTTTCGAAAAATAACAACTTAAATGAATAACAAGACAAAACATAAACAACACTTACAATTATCCGTTTAAATAGGCATTCCGCTCTATCTCGGAAATTCCGTTCGCTCGTTTTACCGTACACCACAATTTTGAAGTGGAGCGACAGTTTGCAGGGCGTGAATATTACGAAATTAATTCTATTTGGCAGAAATACTTATATTACTGAGATAATGTGCAATGCATAGTTTTGGACTTTCTCGAGTCAAGATCACACTGTCTAATTCAAAATCCTTATAAGTGTGTATGTATTACAGAGGGAGATTATAATGTATGAATTTATTATAAACATAGGCTAATTAGCCTTAAACGGTAGACTTACAAGTTTGGCGAGGAAAATGTGCATGTTCGTCTTACGCTCACTCAGCGCTTAGGTAAATACTTTTTAAATGTTTACGAAAACAACAATATTGAACAAAATGCTGACATTGTGAGACGATGTTTGCACTTAAAATTATTGAAACACAAAACTTGTTTTAAAAAATCGCAAAAATGTTATCTTTTAAATGGCATTCGTTGGTGAAGGTCACTTTGTTCGTTTTGCATTTGTGGTCACGTAATATTTCTTGTTGAAAAAGAGGAGCTAGTTTTTACGATAACATTCACATAGTGCCCGCACAATATCGCTATGACAAATAAATTAATGTAATTTTGTAGATGGCAGTTCAATCGACAACAACCCAGGATCTGTCAGTATACATGAGAACTATGATGGGACACACAACATGTGGAGCATCTCGGCCACGTGCTATGTACGATACACTACCGCATACACGTGTTACACCAGACGATATTATAGCTGTGGTTACGATAACCAGAATACATGCTCTTATTCCGTGTCGAAAACGTGTTATAGGCATGAATACACAAATGTTGCGTGTAACCAGTTCCAAATAAGTTCAGACTCTTCAGGAAACTTTCAGATAAGTGGTAATACAAGTTATCTATGAAATATTTAACAGTTTTTTAATGCTTACATACGAAATACTGGGTTTATCAGTGTGTGAATACAAACTTTATATCATGCTTTTCAGTTGACAACGAAATAATACTTTCATAATTTGAAAGTGAAATTACCAAAATATGAACTTATTGTATCCGTTCTATGTTTTGAATAATGTAAAAACCCTCTATTAAAACCACCAACGCAACTAAACAGAAGTGGTGAAGTTGCCCCGTACTTAACTTCAGTGTTTGTTATACTTTTTTCTGGTCCTTCGTTATCATTAATGCCAGCGCTATTAAGTGTTGAGAATTGAGTTCCGCTCAAGCAGGTGCTAGGGGGCGTAAGGGATGTTGCACTTATTCATTATCCCTCATGTACAGACTCAATCAAACAGAGTCTGCAATTTTCATGTAACTGTGGTGATTAATGTTTCCGCGGGATCACTTTGTTTCCAGATTTTTATCGGTGAATATCTTAATAAATGGATATTATCAAGGCTTACCGCGGTCTTGATTGGTCATGTTGTATGTACATGATCAAACAATATGTTTTATAACTTTCAAATATTGATTATTAAAAAGATAGTATAGTATTTCATCTGATGTTGGCAGAGCATGCATAAAATATATCTGGAGGAATTTAATTGTAAAGATTAAAATTCTGATGATCTTGTTCAAATATTAAATGTTATACTTAATTCACAAATCAAACTCACAAAAATAAATGCACAGACATCAGTTTTTAACAACGTTCTCACCTTCTATTTTTGTACAATGTGAATCACCTTGTTTCAAGAAATTTGTCTTGCCAACAGAAAAATAAATCACTGGTTTTTATTGTTGATTAGAATATCATTGGTTTCAAAAGTGGGATCAAATGAAAAGTTGTGGCGGAATGGCCAAGGGGTAAACGCGTCGGAGTAGTAACATAATGATTGCTAGCCGCATGGATTCAAACGTTGTTTCCTTGTGTAAGAAATTAACACTCATTGCTGTGTACAGGTTGGTTCCAGGAACGGATTCGAAAGTGTGTCTATAAACTTATATGTGTTTCAACATAATCGAACTAAAATAAATTATGTATGAACCAAATAAAGAGTAAAACAAAAAAAACTTTGACTAAACATGTTGGTATTAATAATTGATAAGTGGGGCTATCCTTTTTGCCGATCATGTTTCCACTGAAATAAAAAAAGCGAATCATGTTTTTGATGTTGTTTACAAAAGAAACTGATAGCAGAAAGATCTTTTTGCAAGGGTAGTCTTAAGTAGGGTATATCATAAGCAGAAATTTCTTCTCAAAACTGTTATAGCCAAATTTGACGCATTTCATTTCATTTGAAAGAAAAGAGTTTTAAATTTTTTTCTTTTTCTTTTTTTACTCATCTGACCACAAAGTAGCCAGGTGAGTTTTTCAGGTCGATGGATGCCCGTCTCTGTTTAAACGTTCAATGTTTTTTGAGCTTCATTACGCCCATGATATTTATTTCAATTATTCTTTTGGTTATGTTGCATTGAACTATGATCTAGGAAAACATGAATATTACCAGTATTTTAATCTGGTCTAGGTGAAGTGCTCGGGTGTGTTGTGTGATCTAGAACCATTAGGATCATTTATTACTTTTCTGTTAAATTTAATTTGATTCAAAGCATACGTATTATTTGCGATCGTTTAAGACACAAATTGATCACATTGTTTTTTCATATAATATCTCTGAAAATCATCTTAAACATGCCACAAACCCGAGGTCCGTTATTTCTCATTATGATCGGTTGCTTTTTAGTTATAAACATCTCCATAGTCCAGTTTTAAACAAAATGATGATTGTTTTAAACACAGGTAACACCGTTCAAAAGAAGACATGTACATCACCTAATTGTGGTCCAACATGCAACGCTGACGGATGTCTTAATAGTGGTGAATCTCATACTGTAGGTGTAACTGCCTCTAGAAGTGGATACGAAACAGATGGTGCCGTTTCTGGATCGTTCACTGTCAACGTATATGCTGCCAATCCGCCAACATTTTACTACAGTTGTAAGTTGTATTTTTGATATCGAAAAATGCAACTTTTTCATAAATGCGTTAACTCCTTGTATGCAACTTAAAATTTGTTGTGGCTATCATATCATTTGAACAACATTGGAATAAATAAAATGCCATATTTGATTTCAAAAGTGTCTTATAGTTCTTCTCTCTCTTAATTTTTGTTTAGTTCCGTTTTAAACACAACAATAAATAAAGCATTTTTAAACGACTTATCTGATGCATCAGTTAAAAAACCGGAAAAATGGAAAGTTTACATTGTACTTTCACAAAAACATCAAAATGTAATTGCCTTACCAACGGATCTCTTTTCTTCTTCTTTTCTTTCTGTTTATCGTCTGTTACTCTGTGTTTAGTTTACCCCCAGTTAAAATTCACTGCATCCAATACATATAAAACATTTTTAAATGTACAGTCCATGTCCATGAGTTTTGTGACACTTTTGCATTTTTGATCTTATGTTCATGCAAAAGGCAAATAAGTAGAATTATCCCAAAATATGAAGCAGACATGCAGATATCTTTTCTATTGCCTTCTTATACAAGAAGCAAATGTATCGTCTTTAATATACAATTAAATGGCACTTTCCAGCGGGGTCGTCAATTAGTGTATCCCACGACACGGCTGGTATAGGAACCGTTATCAACACATTGGTTCCGTCCTTTCTTGATGACAATAACGATTATGATTACATACGATATCGTCAGAACAGCGGACCGGGGAATTCATACATACACGGGACATACGATCTCTTCTATTTGGACACATGTAAATATATTAAGAAGTATTTTGGTCAAGCATTTACTAATCAAATTCCGTGCCTCAGTTAATTAAGTGAAAATGCTTGTATTCTATACTTTTAAATGACCATTTTTGTAATGATCTAACTAAATATAACAAATGAAGTATGAACTGGTGTAAGATATCTCGATTCCTTAATATGCTACATGAAAGAAAAAATGTGAAATATGAATGTAAAGAGCAATAGAGAGCATTGTTAAAATGCAACTCACTACAATATTCAACAAAATGGAAGAATATTATTTCAAACCGATCCTAATTCAATATATCATAGATTAATTGTACTAAACTATTTCAGTTTAATTTATTTGAAATATTTGCAATACCAATGTAACAATGATTTTGTTCTAAAATGAAATGTATCTGTATGAGATAGACATTATTATTCATGAACATAAGCCTGGTGGATAGTTTCTTCTCAAAATAAAATCCAAAATTCTTGGCGGGATTCGGACCCACAGCAGTGAAAGGCGAGTGGTATGAAATTAACGACCTTTACCACTTGGCATTGAATGCCCCCAGATTAGCTGTAAACTTATTGCATCGGTGGTTGATTACTGCAGCTAGCATTCACAGTCTGACCTAAGTTTAGACGTATAAATCTGATCGTCAGTAACTCATTTTCGCAACCTAGCCAATTTAGATTTTCCAATTAGGCTATTTTAAGCAAAACAATCATATCAACCATGATACAGAAACATTTTACAAAAAACGTCAACATCTGTGGAGTCAGAAAAATCATTGATTTTTGAAATTAAACAGTTCAGTATATCTGTCGAATATTTGTTTTTGCAGAACTTTAGATTATAACATTTTTGGTATCTAAGCGTTGATTCAAGGTTACCCGTAGTACTTTGTAATCATTAATATCATGTATGCGTTTCTAGATTCCCAACCGTAAAAATATAGACTTTTAAATACGTGAAAGCGGCCACTGATTAGCTGTTTGAAAGGTCACAAGTGTCCGTTAGATCCTTAAGCATAGCATTTTTTTTAGGTTGTGTAATCAGATTGCAAGCATTCATTGTTTTCATTCTTTTTTGTAGCTACTGGAGAGGTTAAAGTTGGGAAAGATTTGAATATGGAATTTTCTTACTATTTCACTTTGAGCTTATGTGTTTATGACAGAAGGCACAGGGAAGTATGCCATAATCTCAGCATTACCTTATGTAAGTTGTTGTTGTCGTTGTTTTTGGGGGGTATTTATTTTCTTATTTTTTTTTGGGGGGGGGGGAGATTTTTTCTTTCCCCTTTTTGATTCTTGTTTTGATGTCTTTTTTAGTTAGTTGTTTTTTTTTTCTTTTTTTTTTTGGGGGGGGGGGGCAATTTTCAACTGATGAAAACTTATCACAGTAAAGCAGGAGAATGTATTTACCGAAATTTAAGCTTGAAAAAAGAACATAGAAATCATTCAATACATGACAATGTGGCATGTGCTTTATAATTTTGGCTTTGTCCAACATAGCATTTTGTCCGTTTGGTCACATTAGGTGAATTATCATCTAAAGCAAACTCCTTTGAAATTGTTTTCATTGACTTTTTTGTCATTTTCGGGCGTGTTTTAAGACAATTATGTGCATTTTAGGGGCGTTAAGACTTATTTCCATTTTAGGGGCGTGTTTTCAGACACCTACATGCTATGACCAATCAGATTACAATATAATTGATACATATGGAACACGCACTGGTCACGGTGGAAGCAGTGACACGATTTTCAACATGGACTATCCACAACCAACGGAACATTTCCGAGCATTCAGTTCTGTATGGCATGTCCTTACGTGGACTTTTGATTTGAACGAGCTCCCAGAGGCAGTCATTAATCCTGATACAGGTTAGATTTTGTCTGTTTTTATGCCTTTGTGTGATATTACAGTCTTTGTTAGCAGTTGTGACACCCAGAAAGCAACTTTTCATGGACACTTGGGGTGTGGAGCTTAAAACACCTTCAAACACCTGACAGATATACATTTTATTTGGATTTTAAAGGTGTTTTAAGCTCCATACCCCAAGTGTCTGTGCAACTTTTCAAAGTAGAAATACGAAAGTAAAATAATGAAACATAAATTACAGTCATTATTTAATCTGTAAAGAGTAGAAATAAAACAATATAATTATAAAGTTAGATTATCCTAGTTCCAAAGTTTTACACTCGTTATTTCCCTTGATACATTGTGTTCTGCATAGATATACCATTATTCAATCGCAAATGTAAAGAAACGGTCATATTTTTGTTTTTATCCGTGAATTCGGCATTGAATATTATCGTTTTATGTCCAAAATTACCACTTTATATTGAAGAAAACTCTTACAAACAGACAGTCCTAAATCAATTTATGGAAGTTGTTCTATGTTCTAGCGGCTCTACCTTTTACATCAAATTTTCAATACATCCGATAGAGATACTCTTTAAATATCCAAATTCTGTCGCAACATTATTCTGTGGAACAGAAAACTATAAACTATATCTTGTGACACCAGTATGTTTCGGCTGAAGAAACATCAACTTAAGAAAATATGCCCAGTTTTTCTTTGATATCTTAACAATTATAGAAATATTAAATTTTTTTGCAAACTATTTTCAGGAGAAATATTCATCACTAGAAATATCAGCATATGGCCATCTTGGCCAACAAAAGATTTCAACCAGGTGGTACGGGTGGCCAACTCAGAGTCCTGTTATTCTACAACGTGCAGTTTTAAAGTTCGGATTCACTTCACTAATTGGGTATTTCTTATTTCATAAGTTTCATGTAAATTTAAATAAAACAAGCTCTTTTATATTGACATGTCCTGTCATTCTTTATGCGCTACGATCGGGCCGCACGTGGCCGAATGGTTAAGGTCGTTGACTTTTAACCACTTGCTCCTGATCCTAGGTTCGTGTCTCACCAGCGTATTCGGGTTCTTCATGTGAGAAAAGCTAGGTGTCCGTTTATATACAGCACCTGAGGACTTCCTCTACTATTAAAGCTGTAAAGTCTCTATATGACCTAAAGTGTCTTATAACGAAGTAAAAACACCAATAAAAAAGCTGAACACAACAGTGGCATTTAATTTTTTTGCAAGTCTTGCAAATAAGATGACCATATATTTTACGCTTTAGACTGAAATATTAATATGACTGTTTTGCGACCATTGTGGTCGTTTATATGCTTTTATCAGGTATGGATGTAATGATTGAACACGGTTAGTGAGAAACTAGAAGTTTGCTATATAGTTAAGCCTTGGCGATGTTAAATCAGTATGGTTCACATGTAAGGCGACGTAGTGAGACTGACGATCTGTTTACGGCAATACAGGCCCAAAGCAATTGTTTTGCAATTGCAACCTATCTTTGAACCGACCATGTTTCTGGAGCCTAATTGAACCTAAACGTTATATACAGGTTTGCACGAAAATAAATCTGTGGCAGAGAAAATCATGCACTCTAAATCACTGCCAGTTACAATATGTTTGGGACCTCTACCATGTTATTTGGAGCATGATAGAGTGGCGACGTGTTAACTTTTTTATGACTTTTAGCTTACCTACACTACAATGATAGGCTTGATATAGTATGATAATGGACAGGGGAAGATTCCATGCAACAGGACCGTTGTGACAGAGGCTCAATAACAATCTTGAATGTATTTA